TCACTTGCTCCATTTGAAGCTGTCCTCTCCACTGCTAGTGCAAACATCCCAGCCACCCACCCGCAACTTGGTCGCAAGACCTCTTAAGACCGTGACGGTGGATACCAAACGGCACTTGGCAACGACACCGACGCCGACCACGACAGCGACAACGACGACGACGACGACGATGCGCCGACAACGACTACGACGACACCGACGACGTCTCCAACGACTTCGACGACGACGACAACGACGACGACGACACCGACGACGACGACGACGACGACGCCGACGCTGACGACGACGACGACGATGACAACGCCGACGACGACGACGCCGCCGACGACGACGACGACGACGCCGACGACGCCGACGACGACGACGACGACGACGATGACAACGACGACGACGACCACGACGAGGACGACGACGACGACGACAACGACAACGACGTCGCCAACGAAGACGACGACGACGAGGGAGGAGGGAGGACGACGACGGCGACGACGACAACGACGAGGGAGGAGGGAAGACGACGACGACGACGATGACGGCGACGAAATAGAAGGGACAACGACGAAACGCCGACGAAGACGACGAGGGAGGAAGGACGACCACGGCGACAACGACGACGGAAACGACGACGACGCCAAGACGACGATCACGACGACGAGGAAAGACCGAGGACGACGACGGCGACGACGACGACGCAAGAGCGCGCGCGCACGCTCTTGTTGAAAACCCGTGTTGCGAAACCTTATGTTTTTGTATGTTTTGGACACGCGATTTTGAAATCTTGCCGAAAACGAAGGTTTTTGAAGGATTCCAGCATGCGCGCGCGACGACGCGCGCGTCTGCACTTCGTTTTTTCTCTTGCAGAGGATTCTCGCGACGGCCCGCGCGCGAGGGCGTTCGAATGATTTCGACATGCTCACGCGCGAAGCCCGTTTGGTAGCATTCATCCAAAATATTGAAAACCATATGGTTTTCTGAAGATGTCGCAAGAGCGCGCGCGTAAGCTTTTTTAGAAAATCAGTGTTGCGAGTGCATGTGTTTTTGCACGTTTGTTGGGAACCGATTTTGAAATCCTTCCGAAGCCGAAGGTTCTTGAAGGATTTCGGCATGCGCGCGCGACGACGCGCGCGTGTGCACCTCGTCCCGTTTTTTGCGAGGGATTCTTGAACATTGATGATTCCTGATACATGAGAGCGCGCGCATGTTTGTGTTGCAGAGGATGGCGGGGGGGAACGATACCGGTTTGGTTGGGATTGTACGAACTCATATTTAGGATGGACGAGTGTGCAGAATAAATATGAAACCACAATACCCCCGGGGGGATCGTTAATTCCAGGGGGGGGCGAGTCCATTCTTTTTTTGGAAAAGTGAACCTACATGGCGCAATGTATGCGGTGCAACGTATGCGGTACAATGCCTTTTGCGCAGAGCAATGCCAAGCAATGCGATGGCAAAGCAGCGCGGTTACAATGCAATGTAAGCAGGGCAATGCGGCGCAAGGCGATACAATGCGACGCGAGGGGATGCAAAACAGTGCAAAGCAACGAGGCGGCGACGGTGAGGCGACGGCGACTACGGAGCTGCCAGACCTCCACGCATGCCCAAAGGACAGGCTGCGACGTGGCGGCGACAGCGACAGCATAGCCGCCAGACCGACCTTCAGGCCCAGACGCTGGGCGGGGACGAAAGTGCGACGAGTTGGCGACGGTTATTACATATCCGTCAGACCGACCTTCGGGGCCAGTTCCGTCCTCACGTGCAATCACTGCTTTGAAAACAACTAAGAAACCCTAAGTGCAAGCACTGTTCCCCAATCAGAGCTTCCCTCTGTAGGGGTCCTGGCGGATTCATATGGTTAGGTGAGGTTTGTCACAGATTTCCGCGGCCCGCCCAGGTGCCCGGGTGCACTGTAGCATTATAGCCTTATGGTACTATGGCACTATAGCCATATATCTTTATAGCTTCATATATGCCTATGGCCCTGTAGCTCTATCGCCCCATAGCCCTACAGCCCTCTAGACCTACAGCCCCATAGCCCGAAAGATTCATAGCCTTATAGTCCCAGAGCCCCATAGCCTTGTAGCCCTACAGCCCTATAGCCCTATGGCCATATAGCCCTATAGACCTATGGTCCTGTTGCCCTACATCCCTATAGTTCCATAGCCCTATAGCCCCATCGCCCTATAGCCCAATAGCACCATAGCCCTATAGCCCTAAAAAGACTTTGACTGGGGTTTTTCTCCTGTATCATCTGAGGAATTATATGTCCCCACCCCGTCCCATATTCTTTACGCTTCGCGTATCCCCACCAGTCCATCTCAAAACAGCAACTCCTGCGAAGCATGTCGACAGTCGTTTTTCAGGCGTGTGTCCGCTTCCCCCCGCATATCTCCCCTGTTCCTCCTTCCTCCCGCCTCCTTGTACATCCTCCTTGTGGTGGGAGCGGGAGAAGGACGAGGCGGAGGAGGAGGGAGAGAAAGCGCTCCTCGTGGTTTGAGTCGTTTGGGGTTTCTCGTCCTGGTGTGAGTCGTTCGGGCCCTTCTTCCTGGTGTGAGTCGTTCGGGCTCTTCGTGGTGTGAGTCGTTCGGGCTCTTCGTCCTGGTGTGAGTCGTTCGGGCTTCTCGTGGTGTGAGTTGTTCGGGCCCCTCGTCCTGGTGTGAGTCGTTCGGGCCCCTCCTCCTGGTGTGACTCGTTCGGGCTCCTCGTGGTGTGAGTCGTTCGGGGCCCTCGTCGTGGTGTGAGTCGTTCGGGCTCCTCGTGGTGTGAGTCGTTCGGGCGCCTCGTCCTGGTGTGAGTCGTTCGGGCCCCTCCTTCTGGTGTGAGTCGTTCGGGCTCTTCGTGGTGTGAGTCGTTCGGGCCCCTCGTCCTGGTGTGAGTCGTTCGGGCTCCTCGTTGCGTGAGGCGTTCGGGCACCTCGTCCTGGTGCAAGTCGTTCGGGCCCCTCGTAGTAGGAGTAGTAGTAGTAGTCGTAGTAGTAGTAGATGTTTTTGGGGGCCTCTTGGAGGCCTTTTGGGGCGTCTTCGGGGCCTCTTGGCGGCCCCAGGGGCTTCTAGGAGCGTCTTGGGTGCCTTGGGGGAGCCTCTTCGGGCCTCTTGGGAGCCTCTTGGAGGCCGTTTGGGGCGTCTTGGGGGCTTCTTGGCGGCTCCAGGGGCTTCCAGGAGCGTCTTGGGTGCCTCGGGGGAGCCTCTTGGGGCCTCTTGGGGGCCTCTTGGGGGCATCTTGGGGGCCTCTTGGAGGCCTCTTGGGGCCTCTTTGGGCTCTTTGGGAGGGGTCTGGGAGGAATCTTGGGGCCATCTGTCGGGCGATCGATCACATATGGGGCGAGCACTTTTCTCCCCCCCCCGTCGGGGCCAGAATCCTCGTGAGGGGTGTCGAATTTTAGCCCTCCCAGGAGTCGAAAAAGACCCCTCCAACGACCCGCGGAACGCCCTCTCCAGGCCCAGGGGGAGGGGGTAGGGCGAGGGGTAAACCCCTCCCCGAAGGGGAAGAAGGGGGGTTGAGAACAGAGAGAGCTCGCTAAACCACTCACGCCCAAAGGGCTGGTGGGATTAACTTAACATGTCTGGCATGACCTTATAACATATCGTACAGGTTTCCCTTAGCGTTTCTTATGTTACTCGAGTGGTCTCCAATCGTCCTCTTCCGCGAGGCCTCTTTGGGCTTGAGGCCTCGTTGGGCCTTGAGGCCCAGAGAGGCCTTACGGACGCCCAAAGGGGCTTCACGGAACCCGCACGAGAGCCCCAGGAGGCCGCACGGTCGCCCCACGGAGGCCCAGAAAGGTTTTACGGAGGCGGCGCGAAGGCACAAAAAGGCTTCCAGAGGCTTCACGGAGGCCGCAAGCAAAGATTTCACGGAGGTCGCGGAAGTCTCACGTCACAGAGGCCCACGGGGGTATCGCCAAGGTGGAGGCCCAAAAAGTTGCCACGGAGGTTCCACGGAGGCCAAGCAAGGCCGAGAAGTTCCCGAGAGCCTTCTGAGAAGCTTCTTCTTCTTCTCGCAAGCCGAGAGGGTCCTCGGTGGTTTCCGAGAGGCGTCTCGCAAGCGTCTTTCGGTGGCTTCACGACAAGTACTTGAGTCTTCTGAGAAGCTTCGGGGGCCGCTTCTCGCAGGCTTCTGGTGGGCTTTTCAAAAGTTATCCATAAGCTGCTGGAAGGCTTCTCAGAGGCTTTTCAGTAGCGTCCCGGAGGCTTCTCAGAGCCTTCCTGAGGAAATTTCTGGGAAGCTCCTCTGGGAGGCCATTGCGAAGCTTCTCGGCGGCCTCACAGGCAGGCTCCCAGTTCTCCAACTTTTGACAGGCCTCTGAGCCCCTCAGAACTTCACAGGAAGCTACCGGAGCCAGCCGCGCCCGTGCATTCGCTCCCGAGTACATTCGTGGGTCCCACGGCGGCCCGAGCTTGCCTTGCCCGTGCACGGAGTCCAGATGAAGTTTCTTGCACCCTGGGGTCGTCCGCCCTCCCCCCCCCGAGCGCAAATTGATTTTTGGGATAGCTGGCCCAACCACTTCCGCCGCGAATTAATGCCGCAGTCAATCCGCATAGCATTAAAGCCAACCCGCGTAGTAAGGATGGGCAACTTTCCCAAGGGTACCCTTGCATCCTTGCCTTCTCGGCCCACCCTTGGCCGCTTTCATTGGCCGCGGCCCGCTCGAAAAGCTTCGAAATGGGCGTCCAAGGCCCTTGCATCCTTATCGCGCATCCTTACTGTGCGGGTTGACTGTAATTCCGGAACTATTGCAGTGGAAGGTTGGCACCAGTTCCAGCGCGAAACGGATTAGTTCTGGAGCAAGTTCTCGCGGCATGGAAGGAGAGCCGGCCTTCCTCTAAATTCATTCGGTGTAAATTCATTTCCAGGTGGCAATGGGCGCCAACCTTGCGACGCATTAGCTCTGGGGGAAGTTTAAAGATTATGTTTTGGTCTAAGCAGCCGCTTCCGTCTTCCTCCTCTCCCTTGTCCGGTTCTTCCTTTCTCCGCCCTCCCTCCTCATTTTGGTCGCCCCCTTTGCCCGTCCCCCCCCCTGCCCGGGCGATGCTGCACGCCGCCGCTCCGGCGACCCCTCCAGGCTGCTTGACCGCGGCCGCTTGCGCGGCCGCGGCGCCAGCGGAGCGTGCAGCACCAGCGGCAGCGGCGAGTCAGCTGCCGGCGCGGCGGGTGCTAACGGTGACCGCCGCCTCTGCGGCGGCCCCCCCCCGCCCGAGCGAGCCGCCGTGCGCTGCAGCCGCGGCGTCGGCGGCCGCGTCAGCCACGAGCCCGCTGCTGGCGCGGCCGATGCTGACCGTGACCAGGTCCCGCTCCGCCCCGCCGTGCCGCCCCGCGCGGCGCAGCACCGCGCCAGTGCAGGTACTGGTGGCGCCTTCGCCGCGGCGCCCTGCCGCCGTCGCCGTGGCCGGCGGCTTCCGCACGCCGGCGCACCCGTTGGTGGCGTCTGGGCGTTTTTTGCCAGCCGCCGCGGCGCAGGCGCCTACGGAGGTGGCGGCGGCGGCGGCGCCCACGTCCTGGTCGCCGGCTGCACCCGCCACGCCGCTGACCGCCCGCGCCGGCGGCATCTGCCGCCGCTCGTCGGCGCCCGTCGGCGACCAGGAGGCGGCCGCACCCGCCACGCCGCTGACTGACCGCGCTGGCGGAGTCTGCCGCCGCCTGTCGGCGCCCGCGGCGCCGCGGCGTGTGGCGCAGGGGCCGCCGCCGCAGGCCCTCGGGCTCGCGCTTGCTCCGCCGCCCTCAGGCCCAGCGCCGGCACAGCCAGGGGCCGCTTGCCTGCCGGACGCCCAGCGGCTGGTGGAGGAGGCGCGCGCGAAGCTCGCGCAAGCCGCTGCCCCAGCTGCTCGTCTGATGTCGTCGACCTCGGTCCACGAAGCGGCGCGGTTGCCCTGCCCCTCCCTGGAGCAGCTCTGCCCCCCCGCAGGCGGCGTCGCAGCCGGGGTGAGCGGTGAGGGCCAGGTTGCTTCGCCAGTGCCCGCTGCGGCAGCCCGCGTGGACGAGATCCTGGACGCGTTTTCCGCGCTCCAGCGGCACTCCGCCCAGCAGCAGGCCGAGCAGCGGGCAGCGGTGGACGGCGTCGCCGCGCAGTGGGAGCAGAGATTCGGGTACGTCATCGAGTGCCTCATGGCCACGACGAACGCGGCCACTATCATGAACCAACGCATGGCCAAGTTCCTGCGGCTCGGCGGGGTCCTCGAAGGCGTGGTGAGCCAGCTGGACGCAGACACTACGGCGCTCGGGGGCCGGGTCTCGTCCCTGGAGGCCGACACCCGCCGCTTGGCCGACGATCTCGCCGCCCTACGTGCGGGAGCCGCCCCTGGGCCGCACGGCGAGCTTCCCAGCGCCAGCGCGCCCGCTGGCGTCGGGCTGGAGAGGATCGAGGCGTCGCTGCAGGCCGTGAGCGCGGAGGTCGAGAGGCTGTCCTGGGAACTCTGCCAGGAGAGCGCCGAGCGCAGCCAGCTAGCGTGCGAGCTGCAGCACCACGTGGCCGCCACGGCCGACTGGCGGGTGAGCCTAGAGAGCTCGGACCGCGGTGTCGTGGCGGAGCAGGTCGTCGAAGAAGAAGAAGAAGAAGAAGAAGAAGAAGAAGAAGAAGAAGTAAGAATATGAGCCAACATCTTCGGAGGTCCGCACGGATTCCTTGGATGTTCCGCGCGGACCCACGAAAGTCATGGTTAAATTTCGTTGTTTGTTCTTCCAGGTCAGCCGGGTGCACGCCAGGGTGGCGTGCGTAGAGCAGGATAATGCTGCTTGCAGGGCGAGGCTCGACGAAGAGTTCGCTCGGATAAGGTGCCTCCTGCAGGAGCCCGCGCTGAGGGGAAGGGAGGGGGGAGCGTGAGGGGCATCCAGTGAAGGGCAGGCGAGGGAGGGGCGTGGGAAAGGGGAGGGAGTCGGAGAGAGTGCACCGATTCGAACATATTCTGTTCAGGCCCGCGGGATGCAAGCTCCCGCCAGTCCAACCTCGAAAGGCGGGAGGTGCCGCTTGTGAGAGGCAGGGGTGGGAGGACTAGTCTCCCCCCTGGCGCGGCTTGTGAGCACCCCGACTGGACAGCAAAAACGGGGCGTGGTGATAAGGGCGAGGCTTACCCCTTCTGCACGCCCGCCGACAGAAAGACGCCGGCTGTACACGCGCTTTGGCCAATGTGATACGGCGACCAGGGCAATGACGGCGCCACCTTGGGGCATCCCCCGCGGCGGCCCAGAAAAAGGGCAACGGAACAAGTGCCAGCTGTTCGCGGAGAGAGGAGGCGCTAGCAATGTTGTGCCGCGCGTTGAGCAGCAAAGTATGCCTGGAGGCTTCCTTGGAAGGACGCCCCAAGAGAAGCAGCAGGTCGGACAGCTTGCCGAAGGCCATCACAGGCAGCCTGTGTTCGGTGGAACCTGTCTTTCAGCAGGGCATACTGTTCCAAGACGTGTTGAAGAGAGTGGGCTAGGTGATTGGCCCGCTGCTGGAGCGCGCTGGCGCTAGCGATGAGGACCGTTTCGCGATCACCCTCTGGTTGTCGTCTGGCCGCTGAGAGGTGCTGC